TATTCAATAATACTGATTATTCGAAGAATGAGCTTGATATCTCGTCGCAGATTTCATGTTTCCTATTTGTCTTTATTTAGAGGCCCATTTGGGACTTCTGGCTATACATTCTTCAATTCTGGCATACAGCTTCTATCCATTTCTTATGGACGTGCACGATAAAATGTCGATTCTAGACAAGCATTAGATACAGCGTTCAATTCTACACAGAATGACACCAAATTCGAGGGATTATGCGCCATCACTTCATCGCACTTTTTGTGGAACAGAAGGAGTGTCGTGCCGACGTTGCATTATAATGAAATGGGTGCGTCCAGGGCGGCGTGCGAGGTGTGAATATTTATTGCTTTTGCCAACAAGCAAGGCAATAGTAAATTCAATCTAGAATCATGTTTGGTACTAAATTTAACGGGCTATTCAATGTTACTTATCATTTGAAGAATTAGAATAACATCTCGTCGCAGCTTTCAATTTCCCTACTCGTTAATATTTCCTGGCTTACCTATTCGGCATTGCTCGCCCAACAACAATAACCTTCGAGTTCCCACCAAGTTTCATATCGATGCGCAAAATAATGTGTGGATGCTAGATAGTTTTTTAATAAAGCAATCAATTCTACACAGCATGGCACTGCTGAAAAGGATGACTCTGCTATGACTTCACTGCACTATTTGTGAAATAGAAGGATGTCGTTTGGCGAGTGCCGTGGGGCCCCGTTGCGAACGATGTAGGCTAGGTATCGATTGTTTGTTGCCAATAAACAAAGGAATAATACGTTGGTTCTATAATCGTGTCCGGGAATACATTTTACGGGCTTTTTAATGATACCGGTTAGTCGAGGAATGAGAATGATAACTCGTCGCAGATTTTATTTTTCCTACTTGTCTTTATTTGTAGGACCATGAGCACTGCTGGCCATGCATAAGCTTTTATCAATTTTTTGGACGTGCACGATAAAACGTCGATTCTAGATAAGCATTCGATACAGCGTTCAGTTCTACACAGAATGACACCAAATTCGAGGGATTATGCGCCATCACTTCATCGCACTTTTTGTGGAACAAAAGGAGTGTCGAGCCGACGTTGCATTTTAATGCAATGGGTGTGTCCAGGGCGACGTGCGACGTGTGCAGATTTATTGCTATTGCCAACAAGCAAGGCAATAGTAAATTCAATCTAGAATCACATATGGTACCAAATCTAACGGGCTATTCAATACTACCAATTTTTCAAAGAATTAAAATAACATCTTTTCGCAGATTTCAATTTCCTTACTCGCTAATGTTTCCCGGATTATTCGGCGTTGATGGCCTGGCAACAATAATCTTCGAGTTCGCACCAAGTTTTCATACCTATTAATGTGCACAATGAAATGATGAAAGAAAGCGCGGTTTTAAGGCTCATGATTATATATATAAATGCAATGAAAACCCTAAGCCTCATGCTAATAATTGTATTCAAAATAGGGCCAAGAAAATGAGTCTCATTTTCTTGGCCCTATTTTGAATACAATTATTAGCATGAGGCTTAGGGTTTTCATTGCATTTATATATGCACAATGCAATGTCGATTCTAGATGGCTGTTCGATAAAGTGCTCAATTCTACACAATATGGCACTGTTGAAAAGGATAAATCGGCTATCACTTCACCGCACTATTTGTGGAACAAAAGGAATTTGCATGTTTTTGCGATGGGAGCGGGGCGCCGCCGGGAACGATGCATGCTAATTGATTGTTTGTTACCAATAAATAAGGGAATAGTACATTGGTTCTAGAATCGCAACCGGGAATTCATTTTACGGGCTATTCAATAATACTGATTATTCGAAAAATGATGATGAATTCTCGTCGCAAATTTCATGTTTCCTACTTGTCTTTATTTATAGGACAATGAGCACTGCTAGCCATGCCTAAGCTTTTTTCAAGTTTTATTGGCGTGCACGATAAAATGTCGATTCTAGACAAGCATTCGATAGAGCGTTCAATTCTACATAGAATGACACCAAATTTGAGGGATTATGCGCCATCACTTCATCGCGCTTTTTGTGGAACAGAAGGAGTGCCGAGCCGACGTTGCATTACCTCGCCTCGCCCGCACATGGGGGGGGGGGTGGTTGCCACCCCCCCCCCCAGGTAGTCTTTCTGCTCTGCACTCAACATTTTTAGAGCTAGAAGGCTGATTTTTCGTATAGCTGCTCCTCTATCCTTTCTTGATGTCCACTAAAAATTTCAAGTTTCTGTGGTTTTTGTTTTGGAGATATGACCTTGTTTTTCAGGTCATGTCATGACCCAAATGGCCAATTCTCAACATCTTGCGTTAGCTATGGGCCTTGTGAGCTTTTGACACCTTGATTTCGGCCTTTTTTGCCAGTCTTACCTCCCACCTATCATGGAACATGTTGTTCGACGATGTACAGATGTCAAGGTGAAGGTCAAGGTCAACTTAGGTCATCTAAGATAATTGCGTTTTAGGCAAACGGAATTTACTTTTTGTGAAGTTTTTTTACTGCATTTTTGGTAAAAGCTTCTCAGATCATGATTTCATGTAATTTGGACACATAGACAATCGGTGCACACATCAGTATGCACACAAACACACACAGACATACAAACACATATAATTAACCTTGACCTAACTTGACCTGAAATGACCTCAGCAGCAAAAACCTGGTCGGGTAGTGTGACAAAGAGGTTCTAGCTGGCTTGGCACCAGAAAACGGCATCGTCATCGGTATATGATAAGCAGCGCACTTGATATCCAACGGTGACCCAAAACAGCAACATTTTTTAGTTTGACCTGACCTGGAAGGTCAATGACTGATCTGAGAAGGTAAAACTGGGTATCATTGGATTCGTCTCTTCCCAAAAAATCTTTTTGGTCTTACCGCTAAGCTCTATCTCCAACAGGAACGAAATGGCGCGGGGGGGTGGCAAACCCCCCCCCTCATGTGCGTTCTAGGATGGGAAAATGGCATGTGCGGGCGAGGGTTAATGCAATGGGTACGTCCAGGGCGGCGTGCAATGTGTGCATATTTATTGCTTTTGCCAACAAGCAAGGCAAAAGTAAATTGAATCTAGAATCATATTTAGTACAAAATTTAACGGGCTATTCAATGCTACTAATTATTCGAAGAATTAAAATAACATCTCGTCGCAGACTTCAGTTTGCTTATTCGTGTTTCCCAGGTTACCTACCTATTCGGCATTGCTGGCCTGACAACAATAATCTTCGAGTTCGCACCAAGTTTTCATATCGATGCGGAAAATGAAATGTCGATTCTAGATGGTTATGCAATAAAGCATTCAATTCTACACAGTATGGCACTGTTGAAAAGGATAAATCGGCTATCACTTCACCGCACTATTTGTGGAACAAAAGGATGTAATATAGTTTCGCGAGGGGAGTGGGGCCCCGCCACGAACGATGTATTACTGTTTGATTGTTTGCTGCTAATAAACAAGGGAAAAGTACCCTGGTTCTTCAAATAGAATCACTTCCTAAAATATATTCTACAGGCTGTCAAATGATATTAGTTCGAAGAACAAAAATGGTATATCGTTGAAGATTTTATTTTCCCTACACACCTACCTATCGGAATTCGAAAGCTCATAGAGCATTACTTGCCAGACCTGCAAATACAAAGTCTGGCCAGCAAAGCACCATGAATCTCCAAATAAAGACAAAAAGAATGAAGTCTGCGGCCAGATACCATTCTCATTCTTGTAATAACTAGCATCATTGAATAGCTAGCAAAATTTGTTCCAGGACACGATTCTTAGCAATTATTGTTACGTTTGTTGGCAAGAAACATCAGCCGGCATATATTCACATGCGGGACCGCCACGCTCCCGTCACGAAAATATGCGACATCGTTTTGTTTCACAGAATAGCGGAGGAGTTCCATCATATTTTTTCCTTTTTAATAACCAGACATGTGCGTGGATCCGAGAAAATGGATCTGGGATCTGATCCCACGGATCCTGATCTGGGATCCGTCGGGATCATAGTTCCAGTTCTTAAATTTATCGAGAGATCCGTAGGGATCATAGATCCGAGTCTAATATTTTTGCTTGAGATCCAGTGAGATCATAGATCCTCATTTATTATTTGTCAACACAGAAATCCCAAAAAATCACTCGTTGCAACTCACAAGCGTTCCTCTCTTACACAAAAAGTGCGATGAAGTGATGGCTGGTAATCTCTTGAATTTAGTGTCATTCTGTGTAGAATTAAACGCTGTATCGAATGCTAGTCTAGAATCATATGTCAATGGTGTCTGTCAATGCAAAATTGCACTGCGTGAAACTTGAATTTTCTCATGGGACCGGCCGCCGGCGGGCCGAGCGTCACGTGACCTCAATCTCAGGAGCCGGTCAAGGTCACATGGCCTGAGTACAGTTAGTAGTTCCCAGATGCGCCGCCAGAGTAGCGCCACTTGGAACGGAATAAAAGAATGCTACATTGCGCGGTAGACTTTTAAAATGAACTTGAATATTTCTTCTTTGCCGACAGAACCCCAATGTCCCCGCTTGCATTGCTCTTGGACCCTAACGTGAAAGTTTCTTCGCGATCGGCCGCTTTTTACGCGAGTTATTGGCGAAAAACTTTAGGGGGGTGCATCAACCCCCCTGTGCCGGCGAGGGTCTTATAACTAGGACCCTCTTTGGTCTTATAACTTTTGATGGGCTTTGGTTTTTTAACTAGGAGTCTAAGACTAACACCATAAAACACCGCTCACTAATAGAATACATCACTATATACCACTGTGTGTAACCGGTATGGTATGTTTCCACTCTCCTCCAGTTGGGCTCGAGGCCAGGGTCGTCCAGCATCACTAATAACATCACTATTATATCACTATGTGTATAACCAGTACGTTGTTCCCGCTCTGTTACAGTCTCCCTGGAAGCCCGTGTCGTCTAGCGGCTGGTTCTCGTACACTAATACAGCACTATATATCACTATGTGTATGACTACGATCTGTCCCCTTCTATTCCAGTGTGGCTGGAGGCCCGTGTCGTCCAGCGATTGGTTCTCGTTATATCTAACGTGGATACCAAGGAGGTACTGGAGCGATGGGAGTTTATCGTGGCCAACGAGGGAGCGACGGCGGTGGACGGGTGAGGAGAGAGAGAGAGAGAGAGAGAGAGAGAGAGAGAGAGAGAGAGAGAGAGAGAGAGAGAGAGAGAGAGAGAGAGAGAGAAAGAGAGAGACAGAGAGAGACAGAGAGACAGAGAGAGGGAGAGAGAGAGAGACAGACAGAGACAGAGACAGAGACAGAGAAGGAGACAGAGAGGGAGAGAGAGAGCACGTTCATAGTTACGGAAAGTGGGCACACATTACACGTTAGAAAGAAGACTAAAAGTAAGAAACACTGACTTGGCATAATCCTTCTTGTTCTCTCATTGGTGTGAAGTCTTTAACCGTTGAACTTATTTCCAAGTGTTTGTATTCTCTTCCACCTATTGCGGGATCGACTCCGTATCACACACTGTACGTTCTCTGAAAATTGATGCTAATTTGTATGCTATTTCTTTCTGCTTGTCACTATTGTATCCCTACCCCACACACACTCACTTTTGCAATCACGTTGATTTCAGAAATATGCGCCATTCGGAGGTGCCCACCAAACCGCAGCAGAGTGTAATCTCGTTATTATTTATTTATTTATTTATTTATATGTTATGTTATGTTAGAGCGTACTAATAACGCTCATATTCCACTACCAAACGCCGCTAATGTCGCCTTTATCGCCTGCTCTCAGCTCTGAAGTGACGGGAAATAAAGACCCGAAGGCGATTCGTAAAGAAGTACAGAACGTCATTCGCCAGATCACTGCGTCAGTGACTTTTCTGCCTCTGCTCGACTGTCCGTGTAAGTATCCCGTCAGTATGACCAGTGGAAATATTCTGTCAGTATGACCAGTGGAAATATTCTGTCAGTATGACCAGTGTAAGTAGTTGTTAGTGTAACCATTGACAAGTGTAAGTATCCCGCCATTATGGCCGGTGGAAGTATTCTGTCAGTATGGCCAGTGTAAGTAGTTAGCAGGGTGTTCCGACTCCGACTCCGAGCTCCTGACCGACTCCGACTCCGACCCCGGGTCTGATACGAAACATTGAAAACGACACTTTATTAACCCGCGCCCTGCTGGGGGGTGTTGGAACACCCCCTCCGGCGGCACCGTTTTCGGCACACCTTATCATGCATCCGTTTCTGCATATGCTGTGTACATTTCAGACCAAGGTCACTCAACGTCAGGTTACCAGATCACGTCAAGTGGCCTCACCTCATGACAAATTAAATGCCTACCATAGCTACACCGAGTGGCCGATCACTTTGAAACTTTCAGCAATTGATAAGGGTAACAGTGCGTACAAAATGTTTTTCTCGGAAATTTGATATCGGTGACCTAAGGTCAGATCAATTTTCCGACCTCTCCATTAAAGTCAATAGAAAAGAATGAAAGGCGCCTCTTTTAGACTGACGTCATTCTAAACAATTTCAAACATCGAATTACAAGTCAACATGACACAATGAACCGGAAAATGGCACCCGTGACCCCTCGTTATGTCCCTGAGGTCATCTCGGGTCACGAATAATATCTAACAGTTTTTCGCTAATACCTTTTGATAGAGGTACGCTAAAGCGATGAAAACGCTTTAGATGTGTTCGACCGACGATACGGATCGACTGATATGCAACATGACCTTTTCCTGTCAGGCCATTACCTTGACCTGAGGTCCAATTTTAAAGTTGACGTTTCGAAGTCAATTTATAGTTCATTAGATGTGTCTTGACGAGAGGAACACGATGCTGATAAAAATAGTCTCGTGCAAGTTTTGAGTCAAAAGCTAATGCAGAAAAACCGTTTCCGCAAAGTACGTCTGTTTTGACAGTTTTTGCCCCCTGCAGGCTAAACCGTTGACCTCAGGTCAAATATGCGAGAGCTATTCAGAAAGACCGTTAAAAGAGCTATCGAATGCGCTTTTCCACTGTGCTGTAGCTCTATCCGTTCCTGAGTTAAGCGCTGGTTTGTCGAGACTTGTCGAAGTTTGACGTGGGAAGTGGCGAAATTTTACTTTCGGTGACCCCACCCCCAGCAGGGCGTGGAAATCCAGGACCGGGACTCGGAACAAAAACAAGGTGTGTGAAAAAGTTATTTTTGATCACCAGAAGCGAACTCTACCGCGGGGCCACTGGTTAAAAACAACTGAAAAGTGATATCACGGATTTTAGTTAACTTCCCGGAGTCGGAGTCGAGGCAGCTTGACCGACTCCGACTCCGACTTCGACTCCGACTCCTGGCTGCTTGCCAACGCTCCGGGCGACTCCGACTCCGACTCCGACTTCGAAACCCTGGTTGTTAGTATGACCAGTTGAAGTTTTCTGTTAGTATGGCCAGTGTATGTAAGTATTTGTCAGGAAGTTTACTAATATGGCCAATTTAAGTATTCTGTCAGTATTGCTAGTGTAAGTATTTTGTCAGTGAGGCCAGTGTAAGTAGTTGTTAGTATGGCCAATGTAAGTATTCCTTCAGTATGGCCAGTGTATAAGTATTCTGCAGTATGGCCAGTGTAAGTATTCTTTCAGTGTGGCTAATGTAAATATTCCATCAGTTTGACCAGTGTAAGTTGTCTGTGAGTATGGCCAGTGTGTTTTGTCAAAATGGCTAGTGTAAGTATTTGCCAGTATGGCCAGTGTAAGTTTTAGTAAGTATGGCCAGTGTAAGTATTCGTCAGTGTGACCAGTGTAACCATTTTGCCAGTACGTTGAGTGCAAGTATTTTGTCAGTATGGCCAGTGCAAGTATTCAGTCAGTATGGCCAGTGTGAGTATTCTGTCAGTATGTTGACGCAGAGTATCTCTTGAAAGTAGCGTCACATATAAAAATTACGAGATATAGGTGCATATCATATATACTGCTGCTCCTTTTAATCCCTGAACGTTTTAAAGCGATCGCTCAGTCGGTTTAGCTATGGTAAGCTAGTAATTTTTTTTTGACGTAAGGTCATTTGCTGTAACCTGGTGACCTGACTTCTAATGACCCAGGTCTAACTTTTTAATGTGCAGAAAAGACTTATCGCCGATCTTTTTAGCTCTTAGCGAAGAAACATCGAGGGCGTAAAAATCTCTATCCCCCAGCACGGTGCGGGTCATAGTAATTACACAGGGTTGAAATCGAACTTAAAGTCGTCAGTGTTTCATTGTACTCCGTTTTTCAATCGACTTTACCGTCATTCTATCCCAAATTCCTCACATAACGACATACACCCCACATATTACCCCCCAGTGACGTCATATTCCCCTTTTACCGACAGGCTCGTTCAACTTGCTCATCCACACTTCCCGGGACGCCGAGGTGCCGGACAAATGGGATGATAGCCCGCCGGGCTTCATCGCTAACTCTGAACAGGTGAAGCTGCGATCGTTCAGTACCAGCGTTCATCGGGTGGACACGGTGGTGTCTTACAAGTGTGACGGCTGAACAGTGCCTTCTGCGGGGAGGTGCCATGGACTTGAGTGCGCGAGGGGCGAGTACATTGTGAAGAAATGGGGATGTGGAAGTTTTGGTGAGAGATGAGAGACTTTGGGGAAGATGTGACAGGATTAGTGGAGAGTGATTGGTTTTGGATGTGAAGAACGTGTAGATAAAAGATTGTAAGATCTGAGTCTTCCTAACGAAAAGAAACTTGGCGAAAGATTGATGCGAAAAGATGGTGTACGTGAACACTGTATGAAATGATTTGACGTCCAATATAATGTGCTCTAAGATCTTGTAGGTATGTATGCGAGAAGTCAACGGAAACCGTGCGAACATCTTGGCGAAAATGAATCCTCTGCGAACGAGTTACTGTAATATAAGTACCCGCTTTGTTCTGTGTGTGCCATCGCTGTGCATAATTTGGAGCTACAAATATCTGATTGGAGAGTTTGCTAAATTCGACGTCTCTTACGTTTGGCTAAGCTAAAAAAAAATGAAGCACCATAAACCTCAAGCACCACAAACCTCACTAGCAAGTGTTGTGCTGGTGGCACGGTAGCCTGATGTGGTGACCATCCCCCACACTACATAACCATCCTTCGTTACCGCCGCTTCGTAGCCGTCCCCACACATCCATTTACAATGATCTCTAGCCGAGTAAAAATGCAAACACCAATAGTTTTCGCGTGTATTGAAATATATCGCGTGTATCGTCCCCTCCGGGCCACCGTATGCGGGTCGGATAAGCGGATCAAAAAACCGTCTCTACATAAACAAAGGGGCTGATTATACTCCCGATGTAATCTCAAGAGCGTTCCTGTTAATATCAGATATAACGCAGGCACAGTTGGTGACCACACACACATCATACAGACACACAAACAAAAACTGCAATGAAATTAGCTAGCTCATAGCTATAACTAGGACGTAATTACTTTAGCCATCTATATCACGATACCTAGAGTTGCATGAAGCCTCACACAATTATTGGAATGAATTTATGCAAAACAGCACAGTCCTTAGCACAAGCAGAGCACATCAACGACTTTTCAGATGTTTCAGATGTACCAACAAAGGTACGCACACACGTTTTATCGGCATATAACCCCAATACCCCAATACCATGTGCCCAATACCTCCATATAAAAAGTCGCATAGGTATGTCCAACATTCAACAATGTTGGACACTTCTAAACCTACGTAGCGCTTGTTTCAAGCCCAATACCGAAGCTTGCTAATAAATTTCTACAAAACAGCGCCCACGCAGGCCCCCACAGCACGTGCCAATGTGTTATATCCACCAGTGATATTTCACACACAAGTCATTCGACAGAAAGTAAACACCGCACAGTGCGTTATTCGCTCACTTCAAAGTCCACCGTAATCAGTGTGTTGAGTTCAATGGTATGGCGCACTGTGGAACCACACACACAAATTCCTGGTCCATATTTCACGCCTCACTTGTAATGTAATGTATCACGCCATTATATTCACACTTTGTCTACCTGTATATAAAAAAACACACGAGAAGTCCATGGACTTTTTCGAACACGTGTCTTGTGATAAACCAGCGCAGTTTTGAATGGAATAATGGTGTTCGACCCCACTGTATCCACCCGGTGCACGCTGATGCTGAAGGAGCGCAGCTTCACCAGCTCCCAGTTGGTGATGAAGCCCGGCCGACTGTCGTCCCATTTGTCCGTCATATTCTCGGATCCTTCCAATCCAAGGGTGAACAAGCCTGCCGGCACCGGGTGGAGTATGACGTCATACGGGGACAAAATATGACATGACATGAAATATGATGTTTTTCGTACTCCAGCCGTATGGCTACCCATCTACGCTGGAGTACGAAAAACATCATCTCACGCTCTCAGTCCCAGCGGATAAAAAACAGCACCTAAGAATAGGTACCTTCTTTTGTCTCACATCACCTGGAAGGCCAAATTTGTGCTCAATGTGTTCTTTGGACATTTTATTTTAACCCTCGCATGTGTGCGGCGTTTGCCAGCCTTCAATGTGTAGGGGGGGGGGGGTCGGTTGGACCCCCCCTTGCCGTTTGGCCCCTGATCGAGCTAGAGCTTCGCGGAAAAAACGAGCGTGTTGCCCGTGACGAGAGGAAGCCGATGATACCCAATTTTAAGGTCCTAGGTCATTGGTTGACCTTCCAGGTCAGGTCAATGACCCAATGGTCAATGACCCAGGTCAATGGCCTTTGAGGGCCCTCCGCTGGTCTCTGGGGTCCAACGCCGGCCCATGCCGGCCTTTTAGGGCCCCACACTGACCTCTAAGGGCCCATGCTGGCCTGTAAGGACCCACATTAGCCTCTGAGGGCCCCCCGCACTGGATTCTGATGACCCAATGCCGGCCGCTCAGGGCCCGCATCGGCGTCTGAGGGCCCACCTTGGCCTTTGAGGGCCCTCCGCTGGCCTCTGGGGTCCAACCCGGCCCATGCCGGTCTTTTAGGGCCCCGCACTGACCTCTAAGGGCCCATGCTGGCCTGTAAGGACCCACATTAGCCTCTGAGGGCCCCCCGCACTGGATTCTGATGACCTAATGCCGGCCGCTCAGGGCCCACATCGGCGTCTGAGGGCCCATCTTGGCCTTTGAGGGCCCTCCGCTGGCCTCTGGGGTCCAACGCCGGCCCATGCCGGTCTTTTAGGGCCCCGCACTGACCTCTGAGGGCCCATGCTGGCCTGTAAGGATACACATTAGCCTCTATGGGCCCCACACTGGATTCTGAAGACCCGATGCCGGCCTCTAAGGGTCCGCATCGGCCTCTGACTGAAGGCCCATCTTGGCCCTTGAGGGCCCTCTGCTGGCTTCTGGGGTCCAACGCCGGCCAATGCCAGTCCTTTTGGGTCCCATTCTGATCTTTCAGGGCCCCATGCTGGCCTGTAAGGGCCCATATTAGCCTCCGAGAACCCCCGCACTGGATTCTGAAGACCCGATGCCGGCCTGTAAGGGTCAGCATCGGCTTCTGCGGGCCCATCTTGGCCTTTGAGGGCCTTCTGTTGGCCTCTGGGGACCAACGCCGGCCCATGCCGGTCTTTTAGGGCCCCACACTGACCTCTGAGGGCCCGTGCTGGCCTGTAAGGACCCACATTAGCCTCTGAGGGCCCCCCGCACTGGATTCTGATGACCCAATGCCGGCCGCTCAGGGCCCGCATCGGCGTCTGAGGGCCCATCTGGCCTTTGAGGGCCCTCCGCTGGTCTCTGGGGTCCAACGCCGGCTCATGCCGGCCTTTTAGGGTACCACACTGACCTCTAAGGGCCCATGCTGGCCTGTAAGGACCCATATTAGCCTCTGAGTGCCCAATTCGGTCTCTGATGGTCTCAAACTGCCCTTTGCAGGCCCTGTACTGGTCTCTGAGGGCTCTAAACTGGCCCCTAAGAGCCCAAACCAGCCTCTAAAGGTCCCACACCGGCCTCTGATGGTCCCATTTCTGTCTCTGGGACCGAAACTGCCATTATGTGCCTCTGAGGGCCCCGTACTGGCTTCTGAAGGATCGATGCCGGCTTCTGAGGACCCATACCGGTCTTTAAGTGCCTCATAGCGACACCTGAGGCCCCACACTAGCCTCTGAGGGGCCCGCAAACTGGCCTATGAGGTCTCTACACCGGCCACTGATGGCCCTGTTATGTTCTCTGGGGGGCTCAAGCCTTACCTTTGGGCGTCACGCACTTGCTTATGAAGGCCCACATCAGCCTCTGGGGCCCTACCTGGGGCCTATGAGGCCCTTCGCTGACCCTTGGGTCCAACGCCGGCCTCTGGGGGTCTGACACCGTACTCTAAGGGCCCCATTGCAGCCTCTAGGCGATAGGTATCGCCGAAGCGCTATCGATGGGCCCATAAGTGTAGGAACCATGGGTGCAGTGGGCGCAGTTGCACCAACAATAATTCTGCAGTGAGTGCAGACAATGTATTCTGCATCCACAATAATCTGGAACAAAACCCCCTTTCCTCAGCAACACTACTTTCCATGCAGCACGACAAATTTAGGATATTTTGCCCACTATCCGTCTTTCGAAGCATTTACTACTGTAATGGTCTTCAAAATATGCATTTGTGCTCAAGTAAAAAAAGATTAAACGGAAGTCGGAACACATGTGATTGAACAGTGAACAGATACCGATGACCCACTGTTAAAAGTTTTAGCATGATGATCTTAAAAAATGGCAAAGTTTTTTTTTGCAAAGAAAATGGCAAAGTTAGCCGCCTTTACTTTTGCGGTAGTCCATTCTCAGTTGCGTGAATTATTGACATAATCAATGCTTCAAAATTCACTTTTCGGTACCTTTTCGACATGGTGCACCCTCAAAGCTCTCAATGAGCCTCCGCTCGGGTGCCGCTCCCTACCCCCCCCCCCCGCTTCACCGGTCATGGCCTAGATTTCTGCACTCATGCACTACGCCCGTGGGCCCCTTTAAGCTAGCACCGGGCCCCCCGGGTCAGCGCAGAGGCCCCTTTGCCAAGTTGGCCCCCCCCCCCAAACTCCAAGTCTGCGACCGCCCCTGCGACTTGCCCCGGTCTACCCTACGTGTGGACAAAAGTACGTCACGGACAAAAGTACGTATAGCAAATGCACGTAGGGTATTAAGTACGTACCCCACCCTTGGGTTAAGTTGATCAATGTGTAATACCTTTCTCATTCTTTATTTAATGAACATTTGTTACAAGGCATAGCAAAATTTATCGATAAGTAAATGGGCGAAATGGACAAAGCTATATTATTTGGTATATGAATTTATCATAAGTTCCATGTTAGTATGCCAACAGAGCAGCAATAAAGAAAAAGTGGCTCAACTTACACTACTATACCCTACTTCTAGCATACGTACTTTATACACTACCTTCTTTGGCATACGAACCGTACGCACTTTTGGCATACGTACTTTTTACACTACGTATTTTTGCATACGAACATTTGCGTACGTACTTTTGGCATACGTACTTTATACACTACGTACTTTTGCATACGTACTTTTGCGTACGAACATTTGCGTACGTACTTTTGGCATACGTACTTTAAACACTACGTACTTTTGCATGCGAACTTTTGCGTACGAACATTTGCGTACGTACTTTTGGCATACGTACATTTTACACTACGTACTTTAGAGTACGTACTTTTGCGTACGAACATTTGCGTACGTACTTTTGGCATACGTACTTTATGCACTACGTACTTTTTCACACGTACTTTTGCGTACGAACATTTCCGTACGTATTTTTGACATACGTACTTTATGCACTACGTACTTTTGCATATGTACTTTTGCGTACGAACATTTGCGTTCGTACTTTTGCGAACATTTGCGTTCGTACTTTTGGCATACGAACTTTATCGCCTACGTATATTTGCGTACGAACATTTGCATACGTACTTTTGTCCTACGTACTTTAGCGATACGTACTTTAGTCCTAAAATCCCATGGAACATAACTTACTGAGGATGACTGCTGTAGGCGCATTCTGAGTCGGCGTGGTATTTTCGATTGATACCCCTAGGCAAGCTGACAGACTTTGATGCTGCTGGTGAACGGTGGTTTTTTTAGCTTCTCACAGACAGATGCTGTGGATCAGAAGAAGAAATAGGGCGAGGTTTGGAGTGAAAGAAGTTACCTATATAAGCAGACAAGATGGTCGAAGATAGCTAGACTTTTCAAATACATATTATATTTGGAAAACGATTTCTCACAACATAAATTCAAGTGTCACAATGCGCAAGTATGATCAAACGTCACACATAACTCTAACGTAAATGTCTGATGTGACGACGTCTCACCGGGACACAAACAGCACATACGCGGGTTATGATGCCACATGCAGTGAGCACAGCATTACCACCTACAGCCAGGCACCAGTGGTTATGTTTGCTGTCCGTTTATTACAACGAGAACAGTACACTATACTGATTTCTTGTTTACATTTTTGCTCAATCAAAGGTTATACAAAAATTAGCAACATAGCCAATAACCTCCAGTTCTTTTCAATTGCACTACCTACACTAATTACACTAAGAGTCACTTTCACATTGTGTGTGTCATTGTAAACAAAACATGCACACAATGGAGCTCTAATAACACAAGACAACGATATATCCGACATGCATATTGCACAATGCAAATCGCCTACAGCCAGTGGTGTCACATAGTTAAGTCAGATTGATGCTTAAAAAATGATGTCACTATGCTGATCATATAAGTTGTGAAGTCACATCACTCATCAGCGTCATGTGCTCATCTCGACCCGTTGAGAGGGTGTACGACAGCGGCTTCGAGAGGCCGGTGGCGCCGTGCCGTCTGTTGTGGGACTGATCAGAGACGCTGGGTGGCGCCGTCACTTACCTGGGACAGCGAACTTCAGTGTTCTCGGCGTGCCGTCATCTCTTTTCCCCAGGTCTGCCCGGACCAGGGCGTCCAGTACCGACTGACTGAGCTCCTTCGTTGCGTGAAAAATCAGCCACTCCAGTCTCCGACAGGTAACCACCAGTCTGCGACAGAACAGGACACAGGCCAGTCAGCGACACCAGTCGCCCGACCGGCCGTCTGGAAGGGACGGGTCCGGTCTCCACAGGGCCAGTTCAAGTCCGGTCCGGTCCGGTTAGGGTTCGGCGTTCGGGTCCGGTCTGAGACTGGGGTCGATGCGGTAGGTAGCGTGCTAGCTGTTATTGGATTACGTGCATATACCTATGTATCCCGGCAGGCGGTGGGCCTACCAGCCACCTTCCGCGCGGTGGGGGGGGGGGGCACTTTTTTGCCCCCCCGTATCTCCGAAACTACTGGACGGATCCGGAAAATTCAAACGGCGTTCGATAGCCCTGTCAAATTTGTCGAAGGAAACCAAATTTCATTGACCTAGGGGTCACCGATGACGTCACAGGTCAGGTCAAAGATAAAATGTTTCACCGTTCACGGGGCTTCTAGGGAAAGCGCTATAACACCGAGTAAAACGCATTTTGTCAAAAATCAGCGATAAGGCGTCAGTTGTCTAGTACATATGTTGCTATTAGAGGTCACTGGTCATACCAGGTCAGGTCACCGAAGGTCACCAAGGGTCACCACATGAGCCCGACTTTACTAAGGTTATGCGATGCATGTTTTATGGCCAGTTTTTCATTTCCAACTCAATGGTGTTGGTTATAACTTATAAGACCATCAGGTACGGTTTAGGTCACTTTCTGGTGGAGGTCAGGTCAAGGTCAGGTAAAAAAGGTCAAATTTAAAAGTTGATATTTTTGCATAAAATGGGTATCGATTCGATGCAGCTCGTCACGGGGAGTCTAATGGTGGTCTTTGTTTTGCGCTACGATGTCTAAAATTGCTAAAAATTGAGTTTGAAAATTTGACGTCATCAATGTTGAACAGTTTTTTCGCTATAACTTGGCCAAAAAAAGAGGTATCGATCTCAGATTTGGTATGTAGATAGAAGGCGGTAGGGGCTATCACATATGTTCCGTTTTTTTTCGAAATTCAAAAAACTTTTTGGATTTTTTGGCTATTATATTCAAAAAATCTATTTTTTATTTTTGGGGGTCAAAATCCCAAAAAGTCGAAAACCGAAATAGCAGTTTTGTAGCCCTTTTTAATTTCACACCTTTTATGTCGGACTTATTTTTCTGTATCTCTAAAGCTGTAGGCCTGACAGCTCTTCCCGCGAAACCTTTTTTTGGGTCGAAAATGGCAAAAATGACGTCACTCTGACGTCATTAGTGGCCAACCTATCATAGCCTTTGGAAAAAATTTTGGTCACCATGTGCGCTAGCTGCTCCCGGGAGGGTGCTGAAAGCTTGATGACGATCGGCGCAGCGGTTCTCGAGATATATCGAAAAAACTAAAGGGGGGGGGGGGCAAAAAAATGCCCCCCCCCCCCCACCGCCTGGAAGGGTATGGCTATAGCCATATGCATTGTGCACGTAATCCATACACCCATTAGACCTATGTAATATGTATAGTATACCGATTCTTATGATACAACATTGGTTGCGCTATGTACATTTATACAATAACTGCTTTTGTTATAGCCACAATATATAGGGCCCTAACATACATACAGACCATGCATGTTTGTTTGTATTGGTCTTGGTCTGGTCTAGGTCTGGTCTGGGTCTGGGTCTGGTCTGGGTCTGGGTCTGGGTCTGGGTCTGGTCTGCAGGTCTGGTCTGGGCATGTGGTTTAGTCTGGTCTGGTCTGGTCTGGTCTGGTCTGGGTCTGCTCTGTGTCTGGTCTGTGTCTGGGTCTGGTCTGAGTGTACAGCTGACTGACCTGCTGACCGCTGTGACCGGTACATCCGTACAGAGTTCCCTGGGCGTTCCCAGCTGCATTGTACGTAGCTGGGAGCAGCCGTGGAGGGCGGCCAGTGAGGCGTCAGTGATTGCGCCGGACAAAGAGCCGTCAAGTGTGACGTCTTCCAGGCCGGTGAGGGCGGGCAGCAGCCTCTGTAGGGCCCCGGCAGTGACACGCAGGCAGTCTGGGAAACACAGGCACATACAGACATGGTAGGTGAATGGTGTGGGAAATGACAGATATTATGCATGTTAGTGTGTTGCGCATATAGCACAATACGTCATCGGCCCAGTCAATAGCATTGTGAGTGAAATGCCATCTTTACATACTCGAGGGCAGCGCTTTTCGAGGAGCGCTGTGGCCCGAAGGTTGTGACTTTGAATTGTGAAAAACGCCCGCCCGCCGCAAAACGCAAACACCGCAAAACGCGCAAAACGCACGCCCGAAACGGCAACGCAAATGTCGCAAAAATAAACAAACGCCCGCCCGCCGCAAACCGCAAAAAAAAAACGCAAAAACGCCGCAAAACAATAAAACAGCCCGCATCGCACGCCCGCTGACCGCCAACCGAAAACGCCTAAAATCGCCCGCCCGCCGCCAAAAGCAAACACCGCAAAAAAACGAAAAAGCGGCCGCCAACCGCAAACAAATTTAACACCGCAAACGACGCAAAAAAAAAGAAAACCGCCCGCATCAACCGCCCGCCCGCCCGCCGCCAAAGACAAACACCGCAAAAAACACAAAACGCCCGCCCGCCGCAAAACGTAAACACCGCAAAACGTGCAAAACGCACGCCCGAAACGCCAACGCAAACAGCGAAAAAAATCGTCCGTCCGCCGCAACCCACACAAAAAAACGCCGAAACGCCGAAAAAATAAAACCGCCCGCACCGCACCGACGCTAACTGCTAACCGAAAACGACTAAAAGTCGCCCGCCAGCCGCCAAACGCAAACACCGCAAGTAAGCGCCCGGCCGCAGCAAGATAATAATTTATCAACGACTGGCATACCGTTTGGTTGGTCATTTTCGTAAATCAAAAAGATATCTGCAAAAATCTCCTAGATGAAAGTGCCCGAGTAAAAAACGGATGGCACGTGCGTGTTGCTCGCCCCCAACTTCCTCTAGGTCAATCGCCATTTGGGTCACCTAACGCATTGACGACCGGCTGGGTGGAATAAACCGTGGAATAAACATTGCGCCAAGAAACGTGAGTATTTTGTCAAAAAGAATCCCAAGAATGGTGGATCCCAAAAGTTTGAAACTACCACTTTGACCCACTGGACGACATCTTAAACAGTTGCCGACCGGATGACACCCATTGCTTGGTCACCCACGCCATAGTAGGGTAACTTACTGTGGCCGTGGGGAAAACGCACCCCAGGGTTAAACGCCTCCCCTAAAAAAAAATCGTAGATCTTATCGACGGATAGGTGTTTTATCCTGTCTTTCAGAACAGTCAGCTGCTTGTTTACGTAGTTCTCTATTTCCGGTTCTGCGTCTTGAGGAGCAGCGTGGGTAGGTGCTGTTGTTGGTTTGGGGTGTTGTTTTTGTTGTTTTTACAGAAGATTCCTAAGCTTTTGATGCCTTCTTTATATCACAAAACTTGCTATTGTGCACATCACTCAAAACTGCATTTTATTGTCATTCTGTTGAATTCATTATGCTGCGGCGTTAGTGGCGCGTTTTTTGTCAATATTTTGTTGACCAGAAATGGAGTGGATGGGGAAAGACGCCTACTCGATGCATGGGGCAAGACGCCCCCAGTTTTCTGAAAGGGGGGCGTTTTGCACGGTGGTGAGAGTGCAGGGTAGCGCCCTGTAGGTCGGGGCCGAAAAGGCCTCTCCCTGTCCTTTTTTGCTGATATATCCTAAACGACTGCATATATCGTCACCAAACTTTCAGGACTCCTCCGGGCATCCATTTTACACATTGCAACAACATTTTATTACAAAGGCTATGATAAGTTGACCACAAATGACGTCAGAATGACGTCAAGTTCTGCCATGTTCATCATTTTCTGTTGATGGATGCAGGGTGGGGGCGCTTTGCACACGGGTGTGGGCGTATTACCCAGGGTGTGGGGCAAAACGCCCTTTTTTAAGGGTATGCGGAAACCTTTTTGGGGGTTAAATACCACACGCAAGTGTCTTTTCTTGGTCTCAAAGCGTAGTAAAAAGAATGAGCTACATGATGGTGCCCAAAGGTTTGAATAATCTGGGTTGGGTTGAGTGTCAGAAGGTTTCGCGCTTAATGGGGGCGTTTTTGACCTACTCACCCTATGCATCATGGGTGCGCCGAAATGACCAAAAGTCCCAATTTCCGGTGTGCAGGGTCATTTTCAACGACACGTGGCACGTGGTTCTGGACTTTTCCGGCCACTTTGCGACATACCCATGGGTAGTGCACCGAATGGTGGTTGATCCGCATGGAAGAAAATGGGGGGTGGTTTGGATCGTTTTCGAGCAATCTGCCGTGGAACGCATTTTTTCATTTTGCCCATTGGCTTAGCACGGGAATTTTCAAAGTCACGTGGCACGTGCACCAGATGGTCCGCGGAGGGGAGACCCATACCAGAACGTAGATTACCTGGCCCACTAGAAATCCTGAAAAAAATTTGAATTTTTGGAACAGCCGTTTTCTATAGAGCATCAAGTTGTACTGATCTCAGGCAGCTTTTGCCATATTGTCAGGGAACTCAGATTTGTTTTTCAATAGAAAAACACAATTCTAAAGAATAGTGTTTTAACTATTTACAACAAACCTTCGGTTACCTGGTGAGTTATTGTGATGCTTATCACTTGTATACTTGTTTCCCTAAATGTCACCACACTACTCCCACATACCCAGCACGGGTGGCATTATGGCCGTTGGCATCCCGTTGTCGGTGGTATTCACCCGACCGAACATACTACACATACACACATACACACATATACACATTTGTGACGTCATTGCCAATACTGTTCATGGTCTGTGGTTCTCTACTGGTACGGTGTAACCATGCATCGTTAGGTATGTTCATCACTATATCTAACCACTCATATCAATACCCTGTTTGGCCACTGCTGGTCACCACGTATGACTTCAGAAATATGAACAATATGTAATCGACACAACTAATACCAAACAGCATTGTGCATGCAAGGCATATTCACATAACCACTCCTGATATCGTCATATAAACCGTTGTAATCACACTACTCTGACGTACCCCCATGACCTGTCCCATGCATATGTCTCCGGTTCACCTGTGCTGGGACGGTGTTACCACGCACGGCTACTTAGTGTCATCACTATACCTAACCACTCATACCGATAACCTGTCCGTGTCACCACCACTCACCGAACATGACCAGCAACCCAGCCCAACCAGCCCGTGGTCCCAGCTTCTTGGCCAGCTGGTCGATGACGTCATCTCCCGCCTGTTTTATGACGACCACCAGCCCAAAGTCGAGCGGTCGGACCAGTGTCAGCGGCTCCCCCGTCTCCCCCGGTCCTATCGGAGAGAGAGAGCTGTGTCAGGTGACTGCAGTCGGACGGAACTGCCGCCGGGTCGGGAGGCCGCTGATACTATGGTATGTAACAATGAAACAGCCGATACTGACACCAACACAGCCGACTCGTCACTGATAGGAATAAGTTTGGCAATGTCTTTTTTATACAAGCACACATATTGTTATACCTACATAGCTCAGCATGGACCATGAACTATGAACAATAGAGATTGAACACTATCGACGATGCTGTCAAAACTATCTGTATTGGATTTCAGGCCATGATCAACATTAGGCGTCGGTTTCCTATGATCATTTGTAGAGCACGTGTTCTTCAAAACAACGTCTATCATAATTTTAACCAGAGTTACAGTCGCATTACACATTTTAGGTACTGTGATGATGCCACTGCCCGCTAAAACACTGCTTTTGTGTGTAGATTAATATTATTGCATATGGTATCGGACCGGCTAAACATTACAGCCCACATGCATGGCTGCAATCACAATACCTACCTACTAAGCGCTGTCCTCACCACACAGCAGTGTGATTAGGTACAAGTTTCATCAATGACATCTCACCGAAAACGTCCAGGCGCCTCAAGGACGACTGCAGCAGCCGCAGCCACCGTAGAGTGGAGACCGTGGCCTTCTTCAAGGATTGGAGGGACTCCAAATCCATTATCACCTGCTTCTCGCTATAACCCGGTGGAAATGTGAACTGGTCAGTCGAGAGCCCCACATACTGGACTGTGACTACACTGGCCGCAGTTGATCGGTTCAATGTCGGCATCGAGACGTCACTGGCCGCCGGCGACTGGAGCCCTCTCTGTGCTGTGTCGTTGATGCTGGTTTCTGTAGGTGGACTGCAAAAGCAAACGAGAATAACGTCGAAGGCTCATACATAAAACTCGCACCTAGATTGATAGGGAGCGGTCAGGTGAACCCAATCGTTTTTTGACAAATAACTAATTCGCGTAAAAAGGGAAATCACGACGAAACTTTCAGTAGCCTGAAGTTGAAATTGCACTCATGCCCTAACATTTCATGCTGCTAATCCAGATGGCCTTAATCTGTGATCTGTTTCTCGAGACCAAGTCGGGCCGGAAATGCGATTCGGAGCCTATGTCAGCGCACATTATCCTTGAGTTTCCAGATTTTTTTTGTTATTAGAAACGTGCCATTAGTTTGTTCCAAGCTTGGCTACTTCTCAAGTTATTCGAGAAAAACTTTTTACCACCGCCCCCCGTCGGTTCTAAGTTGGCGCAGACCCCCGTCGGTGCGCGGGTTAACCCGGCACAGCCTGGGCTATTTCCGTACCCACGACAGCCTAGGGGGTCGGATCCGACCCCCCCCCCACCTGTTATCCCGCGCGGGGATAGGGGGTAAATTTTACCCCCTCGCGAATTTTTGCAATATCTCAAAAACGGCGGCGCGCAGCGCCGCCAAACTTTCAGTACCTTTTTTTTACATCAATTTGACACATTCCCTGAAAATTTGAGCGAAATCATTCGGAAATTTTATGAGAGAATGACGTTTTACTGACGTCATGTTCGCCATTTTCGCCTCAAAAAGTGCAAAATTTCAAACGACGCTAACATTTTCGTTTTTCAGGGAATCAATACGTAACAAAAAAGGTTATACGTGATTCTACTTTGTCTATCAAATGGCTATCTCGGTTTTTTGAAGATCTTGGATTTTGGCCCCAATTTTTCCAAAAAACTGACTTTTTTGGGAAAATAATTATAACATCAAAAATTTTAAGTGTATCGAAAAAAAAAACGGAATATGTCAGAGAAGTGGTCTATGTGCACCTACATATCAATTTTCAAAAGAATCGGTTCAAAAATGTGGGAGTTATTCCAAATTTAATGACGTCACGACACACACAATTTTTGGAAAATGATTTTCTTTGAAGTTCTAGACCTCGTACAGAAACAAAAAATAGCACCATTCGATTCGCCGTGAAAAACTACATCAGATGGACACCTTTTTAGGCCTTAACAACCAACTTCAAAATTTGACCTCACTTGACCTGACCTTGGCCTGACCTTGACCTGAAATTCATCTAGAGGTGGTCCATATCACTTATTGAGTGTGCCTATTGAATTATATGAATAAAATGACCCATAAAACATGTGTCGCACATGCCCTTTTCTATATTTTGTTTTTGGTGACCTGACCTGACCTGAGCTGACCTGACCTTAACCTTGACCTTTGAATGATATTGTATGCAACGAATATTGTCTTGGTAGCCTAAGAACACGTTTTGGGCAATCAGTCTCAGTCCATGACTCCATTCTTCGGCAACTACGGTGCAAGGCCGATACTGTTGAAACTTGCAATTTGTACCCTTGACCTGACCTTGACCTTGACCTCAAAATTTAAATTAAGTACATGTTTTTAGTTGTTCGTGATGAGATCTTTCGATTGGCCAAAACACTCTTAACCTTCCAGGCGGGGGGCGGGGCATTTTTTGCACCCTCCCCCTTTAGTTTTTTTATATATCTCCAGAACCGCTGCGCCGAATGTCACCAAACATTCAGTATCCTCCCAGGAGTAGCTATTACACATTGTGATGCAAATTTTTCCAAAGGTTATGATAGGTTGGCCGCAAATGACGTCAAAGTGATGTAATTTTTGCCATTTTCAACCCCAAAAAAGGTTTCGCGAGAAGAGCTGTCAGGCCTACATAGAATTACTAGCGCTACGATACTGCTATATCGAAATTTTGAAAATTTAGGAATTATACCCCAAAAATAAAAAAAAACTTTTTTTGGATAAAATAGCAAAACAAAACCAAAAACTTTTAGATTTTCGAAAAAAAACGGAAAATTTGTAATAGCCCCTAGTGATTTCTGTTTACATACCAAATTTTAGATCGATACCTCTTTTTGTGGCCAAGTTATAGTGAAAAAAACTTAAAAATTGATGACGTCAAATTTTCAAACTTAAAGGTAGTGTGCCAGCTTTCCTGGACCGTATGGAGTTAATGGCCCAGATAAGGAGAACCGGATTTTTAGAACTTATCCATACCTTCAAAACTCATGGAAACGTCTTAAATTCTTCAAATTTTGAGTACCCCAGTGCGAAATTCGCCCCGACGGGTTGTCGGTCGTACCCCAACCACATTTCACACCACTATGAACAATAAATGCACACACTGAAATCGCTATTACCGATATGCTCATCCAATCAAGTTTCGATAAACCCGTTCATCATAATCTCCTGCGGTTTCGAACACGCCTGTTAGGTGGTGCGGTAGACCGCGCCCAAAGCCAGGGCCCCGGTAACGTGAGGTAGCCGAGTCGGGGCAGCGTGCGCTGACCCAAGCCGGGGCCGCGCGTCCTCCCGGTGTCATGTGATAGCCCGGGGCTGCCCGCGGGGATGCGGTAGACCGCGCCCAAAGCTGCGGCCCCGGCTTGGGTCAGCGTACGCTGCCCCGACTCGGCTACCTCACGTTACCGGGGTCCTGGCTTTGGGCGCGGCTTCTGCTCATACTTTGTGGTGCGGTGGTGGTGCGTCGGGCCGCGCGCTCTGACTTCGGCCAAGAAAAATGCGACAGCTGATCATTGTCATTTCTGCCACTTGCATGTGGTGAAATGGGGTCATAACTTAAGAGACGGCTGTTTCATATCAATTATTTTACATAAAATCATATTTCAAACCATAAATAATGTTCGACAGCCAAATAAAAAAACAGTACCAATACAGGCTTACAGTTTAAGGCTTGACATTGTGTTGTCTACGATTAGACAGCTGATAACTCATTCCCGTACGTCGTAACTCTATAATGACCTTTGCTTATTGTCACATGTGCGCCGCATTCGCGATTGTTGCCGACGCCTGTTTGCAGGTCAGCCCACTACAGTTGTTATACATATCGAAAAACCGATAAACTTTTAGGCGAAAAAGGCACTATTCCTAGCCCATTTTTGATTTTTTTTTTGCGATATTAGGTAAAAACAGAAGCTTCTTATCCTAGGAAAAATAAAATGAGAAATCTTTCAAAAGTGGCACACTACCTTTGATTTTTTAAGCAATTCTTGACCACGTAGCGCAAAACAAAGATCACCATTAGACTCCCCGTGACGAGCTGTATCGAATCAATACCCAATGAGGTGCAAAACTATCATCTTTGAAATTTGACCTTTTTTGACCTGACAATTGACATTGACCTGAGTCCTGACATCCACCAGAAAGTGACATAAACCGTACCTGATGGTCTTATAACCAACACCATTGAGTTGGAAATTAAAAAAATTGGCCATTAAACATGCATCGCACAACCCTAGCCCTCGCCCTGGCAGGACATTTTTCATAACACGGCCTGGCGGGGGGGGGGTCGATGCGACCCCCCCCTCGCGATTGGCTCCTATGGCACCTAGAAACACCAAATTTGGTAGGTAGGTGGGCTCGCTGGAGTTCTCTCCCCTGTGCAAATTTGGTTGCTCTAGGTCAATATTTAGGGGGGTTTTGAGGGGTATAAATGTAAAAATTTCGCTAAAAACAGGTCACAAGTTTTTCGCTTATAACTTTTGATCTAATTAAGATAGAGCAAAAAGAAAAGCACCAGTGAACTCAGCACGTCAAGGCGCGTCGAATGATATACTTTGTAGCTTGTTTAAGTGTACTTAAAGTTTTTCCTAATTTTTAAGTAAACTTTAATTAATCAATGAAATTCAAATTAACCAAATTGCATCATATCGCATGTCATTCGATTCGGCTGATCACCAGGAACACAATGATACCATTTTTAAGCTCTAGCGTCATTATGTGCCAAGTTATTGGCAAAAACGTAATTTGACCTCAGTTGACCTCATTTGACCTGACCCATGGATAAGTACACCGAACAATGAAGCACCAAGTGACCTGCTGTTAAGTACTGTGGTTTCAAAGCACAAAAGTGATAGAACGAAGCTGATATCTCTAGTATTTTCCGAATTTAGTATTTTCCCATAGGCTTAACATTACGACGTAATGACCTCTTACTGACCTCAGGTCAGTGACCTCAAAAAACCCGAACTATATGTTATACAACTCGGTGAACTTAGCACATCTTGAAGGTTTGAAGGAAATCAGTCCAAAACTGTGAGTTGGACAGGTGCAAAAAGAAAATTGAAATTTGACCATGACCTTGTACCGGTTTTTCTGACCTGTGACCTGACCCAAGGTCACCCGGACCTCAAATTGTCAGGTCATATTTAAAAAGGTTGCCTTATAGGCTGTGCAAAATTTGGCGGCGCTGCGCGCCGCCGTTTTTACGCTATTTTCGAAAAACCTTAGGGGGGGGGGTTGCAACGACCCCCCCTGCCAGGGCGAGGGCTAGTAAACTTGGGTTCATGTGCTGACCCTTGGTGACCTGACGTGTGACCTGACCTGGTATGACCAGTGACCTCTAATAACAACCACTCATGATATCATAACATCGCAACACTAGGCCTGTGGTGCCCCTGTCAGGCCTGTGGTGTCCCTAATAGGTCGGTGGTGCCCCCGGGCCCCAAGGGAGGTCATGAGTGACCCATATGACCCCTCTCCTTTGGATCCGCCACTGTGATCTGATCACAACCCCCAGAAATAAATAATCGTATAATCATCAAATGCTTCCCTTGTATTCAACATACGAGAAAATTGACAACACTATTGCCGGCTGGGTCATTTATGACCCAAGGATATTTACCGAGGAAAAAAAGTTATCCGATGGCGACAAGAAGGGCAAAATTATACATCATGCCTTTTTCAGACAAATTTAAATGCCAGGTGGACGATCATTCAACAGATAGTAAAGTGCAAACATAATATAATATTACTTTTTGGGGCGGCGCGCCATTG